AACAACTCTTTACAATGCATGAGATTAAAGATCAAAATTGATATTCGATTTTCTTCAAATCATAACTGAATATTGACAATACATGCAATCAAATTTATTGGAAATATTGTAAAGAAAGATACAATATTATTAACTAATTTATTTATTCTCCTTTCTTAATGTAAAATTGTTTTGCAGGTGGAACATTTATCCCTGCTAGCCAACGACCAGATGGTACATGGCGAAAGCCACGCCGTGTTAAAGATGGTTACATACCACAAGAAGAAGTTCCACTGTAGGTAATAATGTACAAGAGAATATAGAACTTATTCTTTTGATACTATATATTTTTCTCTGCAGGTATGAAAGTAAAGGCAAACAGATAAAAAATAAGCCAATGTACCCAGTGGGTGCAAGTCCAGAATTCATAGCGGAACATAAAGCGAAACAAGAAGCATTGATAGCAGCGAAATCGAAAATCATTCCTGGTGCTCCAGTGAAAACAGAAGTTAAAAAGAAAAAGAAAAAGAATAAAAGCAAAACGACTGAATATATAACAGAGGAACTGACAAAAACTATGATCTCAGAACCAGAACAAAAAAAAGAACCTTTATCGCTGAATAACAAATCACAATCCAAGTCAACGCCTAACAACCGGATTTTAGCTATCAAAACAAATGGTCCAGTACAATCTGAGAATTCAGTGTCAGATCCACAGAAAAAATTGAAAAATTTAAGAAAAAAAATTCGAGAGATTGAAGCATTGGAAGAGAAGATAAAATCTGGTTTGTTAAAAAATCCAGAGAAAGACATACTGGACAAACTGGCAAGGAAAACAGAAATTTGGGCAGAAATAAGACGATTAGAAACCAATCAATAAATATATTTACATGTTCTCACGAGTCATCTATTCGTAGTTTTATCTAAGCTACATTCTGTTTTCAAATTATGACAAAAATTTTATTATCATCTTGTGTAATGTAAACCTACATCCTCTTTATACAGTAAATAAGTAAATGGCAATATAAGAATGTACATTTGTAAGGAGATACAAATTAAATATTAACGAAGTTAGTATAA